ATGTTAGAGATGCGACTATAACATGATAGACCAGGGTCTTTGCCCTCCTTAGATTTTTAGCTAAGGTAGGGAAATAGAAGACAGAGAAGTGTACAGCAATGATAAATGTTCCGTGGGAAGAGTGGTGTACTGATGAATGCTTAATAACTGGCGCTGGTGTGGAGGGACAGCCTTGACCTGGGATGTTTGCTCACTTTTGAAGGTTTAAATAGTGTTTTCAATCTGGCTTTCTCTCTTGGAGTATTTTCCCCAGGAAGATTGCTTTAAGAACCCTGCAAGTAGTCTTTCCTTTCTCTCCAGATTTCTTCACCAGAGTGGCAGGTGTCCCTTTCTTCCAAATCTGGAGTCTCTTGACTGTATCTTTTCCTATCATGAACCCCATCACCCTAGGAATCCATCTCTTTCCATCAGACATTTTTGGAATGCTTACATAGTAACAACTGTGCAAAGTGTGGGAGAATTTACTTACCATCTACACATTTTCATTTACGTGACAAAATCATTTCTATGTATTTGGTACAGGGTCTCACTACGCAGCTTGGACTCTTCGTGATCCTCCTGTTTTCAGCCTCCCCAGTGCTTGGATTACAGGTGTGTGCCACCACACTCAGACTCAATTGCCTGCTCAGCACACCTCGGGGGCAGAGCCAGCATTGCATGTGGACCGGGGATCGAACCCTGGTCCCTGCGCTTAGTCCACTGAGCTATATTGCTGGCCCTTTGACATAATCATCTCTATAGAATTATACATTCCACAACGCTTGTCACCAGAGGTCCTTTTAATGCTTATATTACTAAAAACTGAACTTCTGAAAATAAAAATATGTGATTCATAGTACAAAGTTTGGAAGAGCATAAGGAGATACAGTAATTACATCATCTCATGGCCTAAGGCTAGCCACTATTAACTTTCTGGGGTGCATCATTCCAATAATTTTTTAAAAATGTTTACGAATAAATTTGGATCATACTGTATACTTATTCTTAAGTATGAAAATGTTATCAATCATCTTTGGTATTTTTGAAGACAGTATATGATGGCATGACATTCTATTTTCTTTTTGCGGAACCGGGGATTGAACTCAGGCCCCTGTGCTTGCCAGGGAAGCACTTATTCCACTGAGCCATCTTCCTGGCCCCAGAACATTGTATTTTCAAGCTAAGACATGGTCTGTTTGATTAGCTCCTTGTTGCTGGTAGAAGCCTCTTTAAGTCAGCGAAGACTTTCTTTATCATAAGCTATACCAAGGCAGGACTCTAACATTTACTTGTCCTTAGGCAGCACTCACAACCAAAGTTTAACTAAAGTATTCTGATTATGTATACACTGGTTCTCTCTTTTTAAATTTTTTTTATTTTTAAAAAATACAAAATTGTGATAGAAAAAAAACAGCATTAGAAATGATACAAAATTTCACTAAACAAAGTAAAAGGAATTCAACAATGGTTGCTGTATTACATGATGCTATCTTCAAAGCAGTTACTCAGGCTACCAGATAAAAACATGAAAGATTCGTTTAAAGAAAAAACAAAACAAAACGATAAAAAAGTTGTACGAAATTCCAATGAAGAAAAGAATAAAAATATTAAGGATTAACTGCTCCTTTCAAAAGACTATCAGAAATCAACAGTACAATCATACAAGCCATTCTGCATTTATACCTAAATATATCTTTTTTTTCTTTCATTTATCCTTTTTTCTCATCCCAGTTTTCCCCTCCCATTGAACAAATTCCTTCCCTTTCACAGTATCTATTGTACCTTTTAAACTGTAATTACTTTTTCAAGTTCTGACACTAGCAAGATAATACAATGTTTGCACATGTGAATTTATTTCAATTACCATATAGTCTCTAGCTTCATCCATCTGTCTACAAAAGCTTCGAGTTTCTTATTTTGATAGCTGAATAATACTCCATTGTGTAAAAATACCATAGGCAAATAAATATATGAAAACATGGTCAGCATCGTTGGTCATTTAATAGATGTGAATTAAAAAAAAATAGATGTGAATTAAAGCAATGCTTAATCCAGATACCACCTTAATCCAGAAAGAATGGCTATGATCAAGACATCAAACAGGGGCCAGGGAGCTGGCTCAGTAGAATAAGTGCTTGCCTGGCAAGCGCAAGGGCCTGAGTTCAATCCCCGGTTCCCCCCCCCCCAAAAAAAAGACATCAAACAACAACAAATGCTGGAGGTGCTGTGGGGGAAAAGAAACCCTTCTTTACATTGGTGGGAGTGCAGACTGGTACAACCATTATGGAAATCAGTATGGAGATTCTTCAAAAAGCTAGGATTGGAGGTCCCATTCAAGCCAGCTCTTCCCCTCCCAGGTACTTTTCCAAAAGAACTGAGATCATCACACCACAATGATATATGTGCACATATGTTTATAGCAGCACAATTTGTCATAGCTAAATCTTGGAAACAACCCAATGCCCTTCAACTGAGGAATGAATAAAACAATACACACAATTTTCTAGTTACTATTTAAAGTAAAAGGGGTCAGTCTGTATAAAATGCAAGAGTGGTAGAAAGGTAACTGGAAGCTCTGGAAAATATTCTGAGGAAGATGACTTATGATCATCAAACCTCTGCCTGGGCTTTGTTAACTATTCTTGCAGAACTGAATCCTGGAACTGGTACGAGTAACTCAGTGACTCTAATCCCTTTTTTACAAATGAGAACACTGAAACAAGGTTCATTACCTGTTAAGACTAATACTCAAGTCTCTTAACTTCCTTCCTGTCTTAGTCTTTTTGTCACAAACTGCCAACTATACTTTCTCTTACAAATACAGAATTTATCTACATATTATTATGGGAACAGTTGCTCCTTATAGTGCATGTAGTTTAGCATAAAAATTTAAGGCCCTGAGTGTGAACTCACGAGAATGGAAAACATAACCCACACAAAGACTTGTACACCAATGTTCATAGCAGTATTATTCATTATAGCAAAAAAAAAAAAAAAGCAATGTAAAAATGTCCATCAATAGTTAAAGGGACAAAGCGTGGTACACTCATACAATGGAAAACTACTTAGTAACAAAAAGAAACATGATTGATACATGCAGTACACAGGCCAATCTCAAAATAATTATGTTGAATGAGAGGTGCCAGGCAAGAGTAGAAGTCGTATACTAAGACCAGGGAGATAGCTCAGTAGAATAAGCGCCTGCCTGGCAAGTGCAAGGGCCTGAGTTCAACCTCCAGTTCCGAGAAAAAAAAAAAAAAAAAAAAAAAAAAATCGTATACTCTATTTATCTAAAATTCTAGAAAATCCTACCAACTCTGTAGCAACAGGAAACATCTACTTTAGTTTCAGATAGCAGGGAGTAAGGAGGAACCACGAAGGAAAAGGAAACCGGAGTGTAATAGATTAACCATGTTGAATGTAGAAGTGGTTTCAGTACTATACACAGCCAGCTTACTGGAATGTGCATATGAAATAGTTCATGCCAATTATGCCTCAACAGTTAATTTGTGAGATCTTCCTCTTAAGTTTGAAGAGGAAAAAAAAAAAAAAAAAACCTAAAAACTCACTGTGGAATCTGAAGCACAAGAAAACTAAAATGACTTCTGGAGGTAACTGACAACCCAGGCTATTCTAGCATGATAGTTTATCTGAAGACAGCATTACTGTGAGAAATGCACAGTCATAAAAATAAAAAATAGAAATGACATTTTTGTCCCCTGGTAATCATGCCATTTTCTCTTGTCTGTACAGTTGTACATCATAATCTTTTTAGTGTTCTATGCAATTTGGTTTTTTAAAGAAAGCAATAACGTATTTTTCCTGAACTACTGTATCAGGCTGTTCTTTTATGTACAAGATGGCCAATCGCTGGTGTGTGTAGGTGGGTGGGTGAGTAAAAGGCTACACTCTATAAATTACAGCAAATGCTGTAATTTGTTTTGGGTTTTTGTAGTCAGGACTCCAGTCTCCGGTAACAAACTGGAAATGTCTAGAAACCAGACCTACCCTCTACTACAAGATGAACATTGTAGGTTTTCTAAATACGTGAATTCGGTAATCACGATTTTTACACTTTACACTTTCCGCTGTTTTAAAACAAAGAATTGCTATGCCACACATGTAATTACAACACCGGCAAGATCGTATCTCAATTCTTTTATTAGACACTGCCCCCCCCCCAAAAAAAAGATAAAGTTTCCTTTCTCAAACCCTCTCTCCTTACCCTCTACCTCCCCAATTTTCAGAGCTTTTATTTGTTAATTCCTCGCGTCCCCAGACGGGGAAGCGCACACAGGTTTTCTGCACAGCGCGGGGAGGGGCGAGAAAGAAGCGGCTCTCAACTTTTCACTTCCATTTTGAGAAACATCACGGCGAACTCCGGAGCCGCGACCGCGCGGAGAGCAGCAGCCGGCTGGGTGTGGGTCGGAGCCAGGCGCGCTTCCGCGGGAAGGGGGAGTCAGGTGGCAGCGGCGCGGGAGCCGGGCGGCGCGGCGGGGG